AAATATGTGTTCTGTATTATATTGTTCCCCTTGCAATATCCCCCAAAGCAACACATCTGCATTCTTCTTTTCTCCCCAATCCCTCCCCTCCCTATACCCGCTTTTCCCCTCCTTATTTATAAAATCTCTGTAATGTGAGTTTCTTAAGGAATGTTCCAACAAAGTAAACTAAGCAAAGCGCAGCTTAATAATCTTGCCACATTTATGCAAACCATCAGGCCAAAGTAAATGAGGCAAGACTTACTTTGCAGTCAAATTAGTCTTGCGTTAGATTTCTGGCACTGTGACAAAATACCTAAGGAAACCAGCTTGAAAGGAGGGAAGGTTGATTTTGACTCACAGCTGGCCCTGTTGCTTTGGGTGGGTGGTGAGGCAGAGCACCATGGTGGGGAGCACACGTGGGAGCAAGGCTGCTCACCTCACAGAGGCAGAGAGAGGTGAACTGGGTCCCCATCGCCCTTCAAGGAAACATCCTGCGAATGATCTAGCTCCTTCCACTGGGCCTCACCTACTAAAGGTTCCACCACACCACAGGCTGGGAGCCAAGCCTTCAGCGTCTGGGCCTCTGGGGTATGCTCAAGGTCCAATGACACTTACTTTGATGGAAATGGAGGTGGCTGTAGAGGAAAAGTGTCATTTCCATGGAAAACTGTAGCACACCTCTGGATTACGAGGTTCTACATGTGTTTATTGAAATATTATTGTCTACCTGTGAACAACCTGTGAACTGGAACGGATCCTACTCAATTCTTCTAGAGTTCTCCAGTATCTGGTTATAACTCTCCCAAGTAACATTTCTAACTTTGTCCCACTGTCCTGACCTGGCATTAACCTTCCCTTTTCCTCAAGGCCTGTTAACTGAAGATAGATGATATAATGAGGGAGAAACCACCACGATGAAGCAGGTGTAGGCAACCGTCACACCTGGGCTTGTGTGGCCACACCTGCAGTTGACCAGGACACTGGACACTGTCACTGGAGACTTCAAACTGCAAACCAGGAAATCTGTTAGACCGTCCAGGTCACCCTCATGCCATTATCAACAGATGCTTCAAGCGCAAGTCTAGGCATCTCGACTGGCTGCCCGCTGGACTCAGAAATGCTTATTTTCTCACGGAGGTCCTGACTCCTGGCACCATCCAGCAGATATTCCCTAAAACCATGTCCCTAATGGTGCTTCTGCTGGTCTCTAAGGAACAGGGGCCACTCCATGAGGCCGTGGATTTGTAGCATTGTCTTCTTACTTCCTCTCTCCTTTCTTCTCTCTTCTCTACCTTTCCTTCCTCACTTAAGCAAGAGGGAGACCACCAAGTTCTCATGTTGATCAAACTCTGGTCAGGGCTTCTGAACCTTCTCATCTGTACCCTGTGTACAACACAGTTCTAGCAGAAGTCCTGCTTGTATAGTTCAGCCAGAATTGCCCAGTCCCTTCCCTGATACCTGATTGTCCTTGATCTCAGACCAGGTCCCTAACCCTCTGCCGTTCCCCAGGACAGGTCTGATCACCATGGCCAGTCTTCAGTAAGAACTTGATCAGGTCAGGTCAGGTTAGCCGTAATCTCCCTTACCTGGACATTTCCTCTTCTAAGTTTTCATCCACTGACCTCCTCCCTGCTCCTCGGCTATCAATTTCTACTTTCCCACGCTGTATTTGGGGCTGAGCTCCGTCCTCCCTGACTCAAGATCCCATTGCAGAGATCTACGTCTATTGAGAAGGTCCCGAATGGAGTCTTCCTTACTATACTTTAACAAGTATCATTGAATACTTTTTCTTTAACAGTTAATGGTTCACATGGAAAGAAATCCTTTTCTCTAGAAATTATTTAATTGGACAAGATGAATTAAATATCCCTTAAAATTTATTAACAGTTTAAAACTAGAAGAAATAGTGTGGTGGATTAACTAGTTGTCAACTTGTAACACCCAGCTGAACTGAGTCAGCGTGGTGCTGGGTGTGGAGGCCCACCTGGGGACTGTTGCCAGCAGCATAAAAAGAGAACTGGAAGGGAAGATGGTGTGCTGTTGATTCTTCTGGAGAAGTTTGTCACGCAGACTTGCTGAGACATTGTCATGGGCTCTAGGTCTTCAGCTGGACTTGTGGAGGACATTGCCGTGGGATCCAGGCCCTCAGCTGGATATTTTGGGCCTGAATTCTAGTGTGTGGACAGATCTCCTGCACTCTTCTGCATTTGATTCATTGGGTGTCTTTGGGACATAAATTCTGTGTCCTGTATTAAATCTATTCCCCTGTAAGCCCCGACTACAACAAATAGCACTTTGAGTAAAATTTGTTAAACTGCAAATGAGAAAATGATTTAAAAATGTTATGAGGTCATGTGTGATGGGTAACTGAGCTTCAGTCATCTTCCACAGGGGCAAACTTTAAAAGTGATGAATAATTACACTTTGGAGATCATGAAAAGGAAGACGATTCATTTACAAATAACCTCTACAGAATCACAAGAAATTTTCTGCTTAAATAACATTACGTGTGATTTCTTGCAATTTGCTTCTGTTAGTCTTTAAAATGTTATTTTTCACTACTAGGACTTGAGCTCAGGGCATGCTTAGTTATGTCCATGGCCTTTTAAATTTTTTTTGTTTTGAGATAGTGTCTCACTATGTTGCCCAGGCTGACCTTAAACTTGTGATCTTCCTGCCTCAGCCTCCAGAGCAGCTGGGATTACAGCCTGTCCCAGCACATCCAGCTCAGATATATTTTAGGCGACTAGTTAATGGTTGATCCTTATTTCAAGTTTCAATTTTTTGTTCTTCTGGACACCATTTTAACATCTAGCGATGCAAATTGATCTTTATGTCTGCCTCTTATTTTATTTTATTTTACTTTTTTCTAATATTGACTGAATTCTACTTTCTTGTTGGTTCATCTCTACCAGCTAGCTGATTGGTCAGTTAGATTTGTACAAAGAAAGCTCAAAGCACCTGTTTTTATGTTAGCCTTTGTACTAAGCTTTTAATTGCTCACGGTGTAAAAAGCACCAAAATGTCAAATGGGAGTAAGTAATAAAAAGAAAAAAGCAGATGTAGAGTTTTCTTTTTAAATATCCTCATGTTAATTCATAGCAGCAGATTGTTTTAAGACTACAAACTCATTATTTTTATAAGAGGAAAACAAAGCAAGACAAAATGCAAACACAAATATAAATAGGTATCAAGAATCTAATGTGTGCAGAGGGGTAGCTTAGAGCTGGGCTTCAGACTTGGTGGTGGTCACTTCAGAACCACTGCAGAATATATGCTTGTATTTAGACATTCAGGCTTGTTCTTTTTTTTGGATTTTTTTTTGTTGTTGTTTTTTCTGGTACCGGGAATCGAACGCACAACCTTGTGCTTGCCAGGTAGGCGCTGTGCCACTGAGCTCCTCATGCTTGTTCTTTTCGCAGTGTAAAATACGAAATCTCTCCAAAACAGAAGTGGTTCTCAGCGATACATCTTGAACTCCTAAGTAGTTAAACGGTGCGGTGCTCCTCCAAATGTTGGCTTGTAATCCGCACATACTTACTGACCCCAGATGAGGGGAAACATTTGAAACTTACGTATATAATTTATAGTACTTAACCTTCCCAGAAAGTTATTGTCTTTTACAAAAGCAAATTCAGTCTGTGACAGATTGGAGTAAAAATAAAGCCAAAACAAGAGCAAAACAAGACCATTGATATTTTCCTACTAATCTGTCCATAACTCTGTAATGTTTGTAATGTTCCTATCCTATTTCGTAAATGAATGCATGTCTATTACTATGTGTTTCCTACAACAACCATAGAGAATAGTTAATGATTATTCAATAGGTCACTCATGTATAGCTCTGTTTATTTTCTTTAGAAGCCACTTTGAAGATACCAAAGTATAGTACAACAGCTCTTGATAATCTCCTACCTCTTTTGTCTGTAACTCACTACTATCTATTTGTTTTCCTGAGAAACTATCTTGTAGATAACAATATGTAAAACAATAACCATTGATAATTTCCTATCACTTTGTCTGTAATTCGGTAAGCCCCCCTATTACTATGTTATCCTTCTTTTACTCTTAAAAAAAAAATTAAAAAAAAAAAAAAGAACAAAACAAGAATCAGGTAAGTTTATGTACGGCTCAGAAATTACTGCTTTCATGCAGTGGACATATTCTTCCACAAGAGGGTGCCTGGCTACCAGAGATGCTGCGGCCAAGGCTGGAGAAACGCTAGACGCCAACAGCCTGTAGCTTGTCTTTGCAGCTACGCTATTCTAGCTACAGGTCAGAGCAGAACGTCGGTCCTTAACCCCACGCGCCAGTAGATTGCTCCTCAGGATAATTCTTTATTCTTAAATGCTAGTGTGCACCGGTACCCTGGGAAACTGTCAGACCGAGGAGGCTGCGATCCGGCAGGTGTAACAGTCCCGGGGGGCATCAGAGGCTGCTGGTCCCGGGACCTCACTTTGGGAACCTCTGGTACTGTGACACGGGGCTCAGGCCTTGGAGTCACGCGTGTTCACATCCAAGCCCTGCCTCTGGGGAAGCTCAGCAGCCTGAGACGGGAGAACCGGCCGCTCCCAGTCCTTGCGCTGAGACGGAGGCGCCCCTGGGTGGTGGGAACCCACTGGGACCCCTGAGAAATGGGTTAGCCTGGTCCCCAGGGAGAGTGTGGGTTTAATGAAGCCTGAAGCTTACACAGTTCTGACAAAAAATATAAAATTAGGCAATCAGTCGCACATTTACTTAGAATAAAAAAATTAAAGCAAATTTAAATTCAAATGTTTCAAAGCAGGTCAGTATCATACTGCGAGAAAGCCCAGAAGAACATCCGGGTTTTATTCTAGCTGCTACCCTAATCTCTCAGAATTTACTACCATGTTAACGGCTGAACACAGCACGCATTATTCCTTTACAGTTTGGGAGGCCAGAAGTCCAAACTGGAACTCCGCAGGCTACAGTCAAGGTGTCCATAGGGCTTTGTGACTTCCGGGTTCCCGGGGAGGTTCCTTTTTTGCCTTTTCGGCTGCTAGAGCCACCAGCGTGCCTCGGCGGTGGCTTCTCCGTCTTCAAAGCCAGCAGCGCAGGATCTTCCAGCTGCCCACACTCGGACCCCTCGGCCTCCCTCTTCCGTTTATAGAGACCTGACAGTCCGCTGGGCCGCTGGATAATCCAAGATCCTTTCTGATCTCCAAGCCAGCTGATTAGCACACGGTCCCATCTGCGGTCTGCCTTCTCCTTTGCCGTAGAAGGTAACACATCCTCAGGCTCCAGGGATTAGGAGGCTGCGACCTGGCAGATGTGATAATTCCCGGGGGCCACGGGAGTGGGGCAGAGATTGCTGGTCCTGGGACCGTACTTTGAGACCCTCTTGCTCTGTGACAGTGCTCAGGCCTTAGAGCTGCAGGGATTGAGGGTGCCCTTACTCTGCCTATCTCCTCTTAGGTGTGTGTGTTTTATCTCGAATCAGCAAAGCATGCAGATCTTTCTCAGTGCTCTTATTATTCACTTTGCTCCACATAGAATGAAGAAACTGATTTAGTATTTCTGTTTGAAATTTATTTTTTATCTTAATGAATTAATGCTTTTGGTCTTATCTTTAAAAATCACCTCTGAGGTGTTAGAGTACTAATACTGTCCTTGAGTTTGTTGCTACTTTATTAATTTTATTGCGTATGCTTATTTCCACCACTGTATATTTTCTTGTCAAATTTCTTAGGTGATCTTGGGGATTGCCATTAACCTCTTAAACTTTAAACAATATAGCTTCAATGAATAACAGTCTAGCTCAAATGGTGTATACTGCCTTCCTCACCATCCTTGTTCAGCTCTCTTTAAATTGTGATTATCATAGACTACATCCCTGTATCTTTCGTAGCTACCGACAAAGATTTCTAATTGATGTTTTATGCATTTATCTTTTAAATCACAGAAGGTAGAAAGACAAGGGAAGGTGGTTTGTTTATTTGTTTGTTTATTTATTTATGTAATCCTGGGCTTAAACCCAAAGCCTTTACATTGAGCTACATCCCCGGACTTTGTTTTTTGTTTATTTTGAGGCAGAATCTTATTAACTCAGAAAATTGCTGAGGCTTGGCTCAACCTTTAACTCTATAAAACATTACTTTTTTTCCAGGCATGTTCAGGGTGGTCAAGCTTGTCAGAAGAGAGAAGAGCTACTGGATGGTAGCGTTGTCAAAGGTAAAACATTTTCCCATAAAATTTTCAGTGTTAAGGAGTTCTGTGCAGTTTGTCCCTTTCAGGTTGGGTGACTTGATGATACTCTGTTGGTCCAGTGACTTCTCTGATGACAGTTATAACCTCTTTGGCTTTTTGTAAAAAAAAAAAAATCCCACCCAGATGCCCACGCCAGTGATTTTCACATCACAGCCGCAGATGTTTTAAGCAGTACATCCAGTGGCAAGGCTGGCGATCCGGAGTTCAAACCTAGGAAGGTTAAAATGACGCGGTGCACATGGCAAAAGCTCAACAGATGGTAAGGAGGTGAGAGGCTGCTGTCAGGCCCTGCATGAGATGCAAATGCAGCAGTGAGCAGGGCTGAGTATTTCCCTCCCAAGTTCTTGCAGACTAATTGGAAAGATAATCATCTGGACCCGGATCATGTAAGGAAGAAATAGCCTAAGTGCTGGCGGAGCATGCAAGAGGGCAGTGGGGCACTGGAGAGACTTCCTCAGGAGAAGGTTTTTCAGCTGAGCCCCAGAGGACGTAGGGCGGGGGCAGGAGGGAGCCGCAGGTGGAAGGACCTCCGGGAGGCGGGACAGGGTGCCCCGTGATGCAGAGTGATGGTTGCTTTGGTGACGTGTGACTTTTAGGAAAGGAAGTGGGAGGCCATGTTGGAAAGATCGTGTGAGGCTGGATCATGGAGACCCCCAAATGTCAGCCTAAGGAGTTGGATTCCATCCTGCAGGTAATGAGGGTTTTAGTACCCATCTGAGTAGCATCCTGGTACTGCACGGAGCGGCCTGCCTTTGGCGAGGCTGGAGCCACTCTAGCTCTTGGCTCAGAATTTCTGTCCAACCGATGGGTGCAGGGTGGAAGATGGCTGCCAGACTCTCAGGCAGAACCGGCCGGGAGCAGGAGAACATCTGCTCCTCCTCTCAGCGCTCCAGCCGCCCCCACCCCCAGCCCCGTGGCTTCCATAGCGGCGTCATTCGGTAGTGCTTGCCACCTGCTGAAAAATGTCAAAGTCAGGTTGCTGTTCCCTCCCCTCTCGCAACTCCACAGGCCACTTGGCTTTGTGGAATCATTTTCAAAAATGTTCATAATGTCTTACTACTGCCTGTTCCATCTGCTCCTCACTCCTGGTGGCCTGGCTCCTCTGCAAGGCCTGGAAGTCAGGCTCGCAATGCCAGGAAAGGTTAAAAATGTGGCTGCACTCTCTCTCTCTCGTGTGGTCGTTTATTACCTTTTTATCCCTCCTGTCACAGGTGACGCGGTGCCATCTTTCCTCAGAGGGGAGCGGAGTCTGCTGGTAATACTCAGATAAGCAAAAGGGAACAGCACGGGCCACCTCCCAGCAGCGGGAGCGCACCATTGTGAGGGTGCCGACACACGCACACACAGGGGCCCCTCACACACGTGCCAGTGCGCTTGTGCACCCCCCCACGCACACGTGAACACCGTGCACACACACACACGCTGTGATTCAAACACCTTCCATAGGTGTATTTTGCTAAAAATGTGTACATGAGACCGTCTATGTGCCTATTTTAATTCTGTTAATAAATGACAAAATAAAATCCATAATAAAAAGTAAGTCTCTATTATCTTTTTTTAAATTTTGTTTTATTTTTCTTTTTAAAATTAAAAAACAAGTTGTCATAACCCACATATAAGGTGAAACATTTTCTCAATGTTAGTGTTTCTTTCCCATCTTCAGTGTGTGCAATTAAAAAAATAAGTAGTTCTCACTCCAGAAATGAGGAGAATCAATACATTCAAAACACAGAGCTGTAAATGGTTGCACATACCTGTACCTTCTGCACTCTGGGAGGCTGAAGCAGGAGGATTCCAAGTTTGAGGCAGCCTGGGAACATTAGTGAGACCCTGTCTCAAAACAAAACAAAACAAAATTAAAAAGGGCTGGGAATGTAAGTGAGCGTAAAGATCTTTGGTTCAGTCTCTGAGAAAAACAAAGGAACATCAGACTGTACCAGTGATGAACAATATGAATCCACAAGCAAGTTTTTAAATTCTATAGAAGCACTTGGCAGGAGCACACTTTATCATCATAGTTTAAGAACTATCAGCAAGGAGAAATAAAATATTTAGAAGTGGAAATAGTTGTATCTTCCTGTTAAAATGTGTTATACTTTTGAAGGATATTAAATCAAATTTGATTATCTTCCAATGTACAGATTTTTGGTCTGTTGGTAATAAAAATTTATAAGAATTAGCCTTGCTTACCAACTTTGCTTTGTTCTTTTAGATAAACTCATTTGAATATTTTCATATTGCTGCCTATGTAAGCTACGTCTTGTTTTTCAATACAAATATACAGAAAAAAGTAAGGGAAATTCTAAAGGTTTATTCAACAAATAGCCAGGTATTTTCTATCTTATTTTGTTTGTTTGTTTTTGTTTTATTTTTTTCCGGTACTGGGAATCGAACTCATGATCTCACGCTTGCCAGGCAGGCACTGTGCCACTCAGCTAAATCCCCAGCCTCTTTCTGTTTTATTTTGTAGTGAGATCTCTTCCTAGTGGTTTTTCTCGGAATTACTATGTTCACAGAAAAAGTCACGAGCATAATTAAGATATAAAATTGATACACCCCAATAACTGGTGTCTTTCCCCAGTGGTATAGAGAGACACTTATTTATGCCATTATGAAATAAGCTGAAAGGACTTACAAGGCATACAAAGCAACTACTGGTATTCAAAGCAACATAGATTGAACCTATGGCTATTATCCACTTTACACTGTTAGTTTATTTGGGAAAGTAACATACTCCTAATTCTAATTACAGAATTATTCAGATGAATAAATGAATATGTTAGCATGTTTTGGGTGAATTCTTGATGCCTGGAAAATTGCTTTAAAAGTTAATTTTAACAGTTATAGAGTAAGATGAATGCCAAATGTCTGATTTTTTAAAAGTACACATGTAGCTGTTATTTTTTTTTTTTAAAAAAAGTATTTATTTTTGCAGGGCTGATGATCAAACTCAGGGATTCATACTCAGGGTAGATAATTTCTCTACCATGGAGCTACGTGAGGCTCCTTAAACTACTCCTGTTAATATCTATTCAGTCAAAAACGTATACTTTGACACTTTCTTGCAGATAGTTAAAGATTGTAAAAGGTCTTTTTTAAAAATTTGTGTCTATTATAGAATTTTAACATAAGAGCAATAGACTAGTGTTTATAATTTTAAAAATATTAGGTACAAAATAAATTCTAGTGTTTTAAATTTGAAAGCAACAAGTGTAGTAGAAGAAGATAACATAATTGTAATTACCAGAATGACATAGACTTGTTCTTTCTAACTCTGCTAGACGGGTCATGATCAGCTTCTCCCTGTAACTCTGTTGGATATTTTATCCAAAATCCTGTCATCTCCTTTTCCTTATCCCAGCCACTCCTCCCGCCCCCCAAGGAGTAAAAGAGGTGAAGAAGAAAGGGGGGAAAAAAAAAAATATATATATATATATATATATATATATGTATATGTGTGTATGTGGAAGGATGGCGGGGATAACTACTGCTGAAGTCTAATGCTTTGTTGAAGGGAGCAGTTAATGCGTAATTCTTTTTCCTTTTTAACCAATTCTGTGTGCTTGTATCTGGTGTCCTGGACAGCTAATTTGAGGACAGCAATGTGCAGTGTAGCAGCCATGGGTGAATTCCTACCATCTTGTCTGGTGAAACTCTGCATCATTTCTAGTGGGTTTTTCTTTTTGTTTTTATTTTTTATTCTCTTTAATGGTTTGACCCATCTGGGATTCTTGCATCTGGTGGTCTGGGTGGCTTTGTTAAAGGTGGCATTGTGTAGTGTCATGGCCACTGTTGGTTTCTGTCATTTTGTTCTGAAACCCTCTGTCATTTGTGTTGTTTTCGCTTTGTTTTGTTTTTGTCTGTGTTGTTGGCATTTTGCTATTGTTCTCTGCTTTATTTTTCTCTTTAAAATAAAAAAAACAAAATCCCATATATTTAATGTACATGTAGAGTGAAACCTTGAATAGGATTTTGGGCCCTTGGCTACAAATTTACTATATTTACTGCAACATTTTGGTGCCATCTTCTTTTCCCCTGTATGTCTGACTCTTGAGCAGAGAAACAGCTTTTGATGTTATTTCAAGGTGCACAAGCACAAACTTCACCTAGTAGCTCACTCTGTTATAGTAATCAAACAGGCATTAGAGAAAGAGCTGTATCCCCCTAGCTCGCAAAATTAAACAGGCCTTTTGTAGGGGCACAGTACTTCCTTGTTTCTGTTCTTAAGAACAGATTAATTATAGAGCATGACATTACCCCATATGTTTGTAATAGGAGAAGTTGTGAGCTACATCCCTGCGTCCAATTTTTCCTTATTAGTAGTTCAAACAGTGCAAATGGTTCTCTGAAATAAAGCCTTTAGTAATTAATGTACCTCTATCCTGCAATTCATTGAACACATTTTCATATATTTTATGACTAACTGCAACTCTCCTTTAATCATGATTTACCCTTCTGTATGTGGAACATATTGGGTGTGCATATAGTTTATTAAGCATTATTGCTTTGGAACCTGTTGGCTTATTGCCACTTTCAAAGCACACACTTCTTTTTTTCAGTATCTGAGCAAATTTATGATTTAATTGGTACAGATGGAATGCTAAATGTAAACTAAACAAACACTGTAAAACATAACGCTGTCTTATGGTGGTCTTTATATATCAGCCATGATTAATTCAGAAGGCTGTGCCTTCAACATGCAACCATGCAGAGGACCTGCTCCTCACACACGCGTTTTCCACCAGCGCACACCCCGAGCTCCTGAACACAGCGTGTGGCCGACAGTCACGGCGGAGGAAGGGCCTTGTGCCCTGTGGGAAACTACCACAAACAGGCCGCCGACTGATGTGGCCGAAAGAGTCACTTTTTAAAATAACGCCCGTGCCTTTAATAATCTACTCAGGGTCCTCTGAATGTATCATGGGTAGTGAGGTCTGTGGACCTTTCCCAAGCCTCCGCCTCTCCCCATTTCTAAGGTGCTGAAACACAGTGATGAGCCCTTGTCAAAAGACGGCTGGGCTAGCACCCCAGGGTTCTGGTGGGCCCCGTGATGTGCATTTCCAGCAAATGCCCAGGCATTGCTGAAGCCGCCGGAGGTGATCACAGTTTGAGGACCACCGCACTACTGCAATCTTCTCCTTTTCACGCCCAGGACAAATTCTGCAATAGCACATGTCTCAGTATCTTCGCTTTCTTTGTCGGCATTCATGGGACCCTCTTGGTATTTAGTGCCTACGAGATCGCACTGTCTTATACGTGTACTTCGATTGACTGTAAGGCCCTCCCAGACAGCGGAGGACACGACTGACATTTCACTTGAACCGTGTGTCTCACAGGGCGGCTCGCCAAGTACCCTCGTCCCTGCTGTCTGAGAAGCTGGTTGAAAAGCACGTTTTTGGGCTGCACCCCGGAACAGAGGGCTTGGAAAGGGGGTTCCACAGTCAGACCGCGTTGTCCGTTATTCCTGTGTCCGAGAAACACCGTGCCGGCCAGCAGGCGGCAGCGTCCTCACAGAGCAGCGCGGCCTCCCAGAGGACCGGGAAGCTGAGGGTTTGGGGACTGGGGAAGGGCTTCCCTAACCCTGGCCCCAGTGGAGACCCCTCGCCTTCCCTTCCTCCCCCGGAAGGGATTTTGGAGGGTCCGGCTCAGGAGCACAGTGACTCTTCCCAGCCCCGAGCAGACAGGTCCGTTTTCTGGCCGCTGCCAGGGGAGGTGGAGGTCAGGTGGGTGCAGGCCGGGCAGCGGCAGGCAGGTCCTCCCTGCAGGAACGCAGGGTCCCTGAGGTGGGTGGCAGGGGAGTGTGGAAGTGCAGGGACCTCCCAGCTTGACTGCTGTGAACCGTCTTTGGTGACAATGCCAGGCTGTTTCCATCACTTGGACTGACAGCTACCCTGCCTCTTCCACAAAGACCTAGTAGGGACGATGTGGTGGGTTGACAACTGGTGGTGAACTTGTAACCCCCAGCTGAGCCAAATTAGCGTGGTGCTGGGTGTGGGAGCCCCACCCGGAGACTGCTGCCCACAGCATAACAGGCAGAACTGGAGAGGAAGTTTAGGGGCTGTTAGGGAATTAGGGAAGCTGCTGGGAGCCGTTGAAGCTGTTGGTTTTCCTGCAGCCGCTGTTGGTTCTCCTGGAGGAGCTCGTCATGCTGGCTTTCCTGATGAACTAGGCTGTTCTCACTGTCAAAGGAGCTCGGGACCTTGTCTCTGAGAATGGTTTCGGTTCACTTTGGGGGAGCTCTGGTCCTCACTTTGAGCGTTGCTTCCTGGCTTGGGAAGGGAAGGTGGTGCACTGCTCAGTCTCCTGGAGAAGCTCATTGCACTGGCTTTCCTGGTAGAAGCTTGGCTGTTCTCATCACCGGAGCAGCTCAGAAGCTCTCTGTCACTGAGGACGGCTGTGGTACCTTTCAGGGGAGCTCTGGTTCTTACTTTGAGCATCACTTCCTGGCTCCAGTATAGATCCCTCAGCCTGCTGTCACAGATCCTTCATCCCGCTGGCACAGACTTTCCAGCTTCCACCACTGACCTTTGGGCCTTCCCA